ACAAGTGAATTGAGCCCAATTGTGACCCTTTAATCATTTATTCTTTATATTTCTAAGACATCTATTTTTCATATTCATCCTTTTTTCTTTTTTTTCAATTACTCCTTAGTTCTGCTTCTTTTATTAATTAATCTACAAATCGAAATGTTAAATAAGCTTTTACTAATAAAATTTACATTTAGTAAACTTGAAATTTTTTACTAATTAAATCTGTAAATTTTTAACAATTGGTGTATTAAATATGTCATTTTTCTTTTTTCTGTAATTATAGTTTACTTTTAATTTTTACGGAGAGTTATATCACGATTAGATTAAAATTCAAGGTCGTTTCGGTTGCTGTCTATTTTGGTTCTGTTATTGTCGATTTTGGTTTGTTTCGTTTTAGCCCAAGGTCGGTTCGGTTCAATTGATTATTTTGAATCATATATTTTTTCGATTAGTTCGGTTTTAGGCCGAAATCAACCAAACCGATCTGATGCTCACCCCTACCGCCGATAGTAGGAGCGAACATGCCGGGTTGACCCAAGTCACCTAGTTCGGCGGGTCTCATAGTTTTACACGGGTTTTAAGCCTTATGGGTTTAGGCAACAAATCGAATCGGAGATGCATCTGGTCGATGTCTGACCGGTCGGACAGCCCAGTTCGGTTCGGGTTTAAAAACAATGGGAGGATGATGTAATTGGGGGTAAATTTAAAAAATGGTAATTCAACTTTCACGAAAATTTCGATTCGGTACCTAAACTTCAAAATCTTTCAAAAAAAATCCCTGAACTTTGAAAACATTTCACGAATGGTACCTGAAGCCCGTTTTCAGGTAACCAGCAGGTAATTTGGGCAAAATTTTAATTTTTTGTATTTTATAATTTTTAAATTCACCCCGTTTCTTTTTCTTCTTTTCCCTCGCCCACCCTTTCTTTGTCTTCTTCTTCTTTCATCCCTTATCTTCTTCTTTTTCACCCCCTTTTATTCTTCTTCTTCAAAGCTCCCCTCACCCCCTTTTGTTAAATTTTTTGTTTTTTTATCTTTTTTTCTTGATACTTTTATATTATTTGTTTGTTTACGAGTTTTTTGTGAACGTTGTTTTGTAAGTTTTTTATCTATTCTCTTAAGAAGTGTTTTATTTTATTGTTTGGTTTACTTTTTATTTTTTTGATATCGTTTTGTCTTATTTTTTTGTTTCTTTATTAATTTTTGTTTTTTATTTTTTTATATTTTATTTTTTCATAAAAATGAAGAAAAAAATTAATTAGCATTTGGGTTCTTTCTTTTTTGTGGGTTGTTCTCTTTTTATGTTTCGCTTATTCTTAGTTTGACTTATTTTATTTTATTAATTGATCAATAAAATAAAAAAAAATTAATTAATAAAATAAGTCAAACTAAGAGTGTAAGTGCAACATAAAAAGAGAACAACCCACAAAAAAACGAATCCAAACGTCAATTAGTTTTTTTTACTTCATTTCTTGAAAAAATAAAATATAGCATAAAAATAAAAAACAAAAAATGATCAAAAACAAACAAAAATAAGATAAAACAACATCAAAAAAATATAAATGTAAAACAAACAAAAGAAATAAGACAATTCTTAAAAGAATAGATTTAAAAAACTTACAAAAAAAAAAAAAGTTCACAAAAAAATTCTTCTGAAGGAGGTGAAGGGAGTGGGAGTGGGAGGGGGTCTATGTTTAGCCGCCAATAGCAGCGAGTCAAACATGGCGAATTCTTCTGAAGCAGGTGAAGAAGACGCCGTCTCGGATGGGCTCAAGGAATGGGCGAAAATCAACCGTGCTCGATTCATCGGAGAATCGTCTCCGACCGGTATGCCTTTAGTCGGCATCAGAGAAATCTCCGCCGCCTGTGAAACTATGGGCGACACCATTCTCTTCCCTCCGATCAACCACGAGAACCTACACGCCTCCCCGAATCCGATCAATCATCATTGCATCCCCCCAAACGCCTTCAAATCTCCGTGTTCGTCTCCGTCCCAGCCGTCTCCCTTGGAATCGTCGTCCTCGTCGTCGTCGTCCAGATCGCAATTCGGGGTAGAAAATGACGATTGGTCGTATTCGTTCCCTCCGTCGGAGTTCCCGCCTTCCGAACCGGAGAAATCTCTTCCCTGCAGTCCTAATCGCCCAGTCAAATCCCCTTTTGGATCCGCAAGCTGGTGGAATTGCGGACTGAAAGTCCTACTTTCCAGATTCAGCTGCATCGAGCAGCATTTTCGATTCATTTCTACAGCGCCATGGACAATCAGTTCATTTTTATCTCTTATTGGCAGATCCAAGCTAGCCGCAGTTATTGTGATCTTTTTGTGTTTCCGATGGAGGAGGAGACTGAACAGAAGAGGAGAGACCAGGGAAGAGCTAATTCGAACAATTGCCCAGAAAGACCAGGTTTTTTTCCTTCAAAATTTTTAGTATAAATTTTCATTGCTTCGAACTGTTTGTGAAAATGCCTAAGAGAATACGACTGATCAAAAACATGAATCAGTTTGGATTCACAACGGGGAAAGCGAAATCACCTTAGAACACGAATCCTTTTGATTGAACTTTGTGATATAATGATTTGCAGATGATAATCCAGCTGATGAATCAAATGGCAGAGATGAATCAATTGATTCTGGCACTTCATAGAAAAGGTCATCATCTATCCAACACTTAGTTAAAATTTGATTACGCGCATCATCATCATCATCATCACTCTACAAGTAGAGTCATTAGTGTCTTGGAGACCATGTTCATAAAAACTTTAGAGTTTGGATGAACTGTTGGTAATCAATGCCCTTATGGTTTGGGGTATCCCTTATTCGATTTCATGGTAGTTTCAATGGAGCTCCCAACGTCACTTACCGAACGAAACAACCCCTTTTGGCAGAGAGGATAACTGCTAATATTCATTGATAGATGAATCAGATGATGAAGGGCTAGAATTATGACCAAGCTGAACCAGCCTTTTCCAAAGCATTTTCTCATGAAATTTCTCAATAAAGTGCTACGAGGAGACAATGGTTTCGCGGGAACAAACCCAAGGTCCTCTTTTACTCTTTTATTTCTGTCGTAAATTATGACCTTCTATTATATGTGTTGTCTAGGGCTCATCTGTTGAGGGAAAGTGTTGGGCGGTGTGTTTGCAAATGCAGAAGGTAAATTTGGTTTTATAACCCACTCTAAAGATTACAAGAGATAACTTAAACTAGTTACAATGAAGATTATAATTCTAACTAAATACGGAGTATATCGGTGTTGCTCTTTGTTTTACATTTAATGAAAGTATAAGGAACGGAGCGGATTGATACGAGTCATGGAAATGGTTGACCTTAAACAATATCGGCCCCTTACCACAATGATTTAACGTGGCAAACTCGCTCCCAACTCTGCGAATGAGATGCAAGCGTAAACGAGAGAAAATATTTTGAGATGCTGTATATTTTCGGGACCAAATGGGAGGGCTTTTATAGGGGCGATTCGGGAAGAGCTTCCATGCGTGATGATGGTCAGTCAACTGGCAGCAGGTGATAAACCCAGGAATGGCTCGTGATTTTGGTATTTAGAACTATGTGACTTAGAACTCTGTTTATTCATAAACACTTGCAATTTCATCCAAAAAAAATCATTCATTTATCTATCATATAGAGTGCAAGAGTCCCGCCACCCTGCATTCGAATCCAAGTGTGAGCCACGACTTAGGGATGCTGTCTCGCTTGAGTCACTCTCTTGAGTAGGAATGAGCACATATCGTGATGGTTCGGTATTGTTAAAGACCCTTTCTATACTGTTGATATTCAAATGGTTCATTACAGTTTTGCTTTTATGCCTAAACTCATTGGGTAACATATCATTTGAAAATGGGATAGTACCATGTCATACTAATGCCAAATCATATCATGATACTTCGAAACTTTGGAAATATTTTTATTCTTAAAAAACAATCGACATAATTAAAAAGATTAGTGCGCCAATATTTTTATGCATTCTTACTCTACAAGTGTATCGTTTAGTTATGGAATACAATTTTTGACAAAGTATGATTATATTTTGATTTTTGAAAAAAATAAAATTAGTCATGGAATACAATTTTTGACAAAGGATGATTACATTTTCATTTTTGAAAAAAATAAAATTATAACTTAAGTTTTATTCCAGCACAAAAAAAAATAACAAATGAAAATGTATAATTAATTTACTAATTTAGCATTTTTGTGGTAATGGTTTGGTTTTATAGTTTAAGAATTAACCTCGTATAATTTTGAAAATGATTCGATCTGGTTCGAGATAAAATTTAGTGAAATTTGCACTAAATAGGACTAAAACATAATGATTTTCCTAATGTAGGACTTAAACTTTTTTATTTCATAAATAGGACTTAATAATGACCTTGTGGAAGAATAATGTCCAGTAATGATGAACATTTAATTGAATAATGACTACTTGATAATAATAACCAAAGGTCCTACATTGGGAAATAAAAACATATAATCCTATATTGGAAAAGTTATTATGTTTTAGTCCTATTTGGATAAATTTCTCTAAAATTTACTACAGAAGAACCATTTGAAAACTCAATTTTTGATTCAGTACAATGTTGATTTAATTCGGAAAGGCCGGTACTTTTTTCCTCCCTTGCCCTTGACGCAAAGAAGGGTTGCCTAAGGTGCTTTAGTAGGAGGCAAACACCTCTCGAAACGTTAGATTAAATGTGTGTACATCAATTTCCTTTAAATATGCAAAATGAGTATTTTTGCCTTGTAAATGGACATATGGAGTATTTACAATAAACATTGTACATTCAAATAAATAATATAGGAACTCACATTTTTTTTTTGAGGAAAATAAAAACGCAGACACTTGGGAAATTATATTGATTTTTAATGAAGGTGAAGGTACAATAAATCAAACTACTAAAGTCGTCTACAAGAAAACCTTCCAAATTTTATAAATCACGTTATTGACCGTTTTCAAAAAAAAACTCTAACAAAATCCCACACAACATAGGATTTGAAAGAGTCACATAATCAAACTTCATTCGCTTTCTCTCTTTTTTCGGCAATCATTTGATAAAACAAAATAGTTGTCACCACTAATTCTGAATTTTTTTTGTAGTATTTCAATATGTAATTTTGGAGAAGAATTGTACTCCGTTTTTTTGTTTAATCCAATATGAGATTGTATTTTTTGTATAATCCAATATATATAGACCAGAACCACACCATGTCCACCCCTAATGCGAGCATACCATACCAATGAGTGGATAAGCTTTTGCCAGTGCAATTATATGTGTGTGCATATAAAGAAGCTCATAAAAACAAATTAATCCAAAAACTAATTTCCAAAGAGATATGTCAAAAAAGCCAAAACAGCAATGAGAATCATGATATTAAGAAAATAGTTTGATTTTAAAGGCTTATCTGGGCTTCCACTAACTGCCTCATATTCGGCACGAATCTTCTGCTTCATAGCCTCTGATAGCTCTTTCTGCAATTCAAATAGAGGCATAATTTTTTTATTCCATTCTTCATTTAAGACTTCCAAAATTTACATGTTTGAAAACATGACACTTGTTCTTACTCCTGCAACAAACCAGGAAAAGCAGAACGATGAACCATATGCGGAATCATTAATAATTTCCCGAGCAACCCTTTCGAAAGGTGTCTAATGTTAGCTAAATGAATGGTAGGATTTGATCAAGTGTGCAAGATTAGAACCAACCTTTCCGGAGGAGTACTTGGCTGCTTCAAACTTCTCCCCTTGTGGTTTTGGAGAACCATCTATCACAATGCCCTGGAGGAAAAAATATGTTTGGATTCAGACATGTACGTGGACAATAATTAAAAGAAAATAAAGTAATCATTAAAGCTTTGTAGTTAAGCAAGAACAAAAGCTTTACGGGTTAAAAAAATGAGTTTTTGCGCCATTGGTGCAGCATTTTTGGCGCATAGGGACATTTGTGTGACATTTTTAAAAGTTCAAGAGTAATGGCGCAAAAAACTCAAAAAAAAAACAGTTGAGGGTAACTTGAATTGAACAGAGACCTCCGGAGGGTCAAATTTGGCTCCAAGATTGCTTAGTTTGGCATGGGCTTGAGCATAATCATTGAAGAATGCTTCCTGGTCTTCAGCATATTTCTCCGCATAAACCTGCATGGATGTTTTACCGAGTTTGATTCATGTTGAATTGAAATAGCTGTTGTGAAAATAATAACTGCAGCTACTTTTTACCTTGAAGGATGGATCCTCAAAAAGAGCAGCATCAGTTGGAAGTACCAATAGATCTTCATCCCTTTTTTCTTTGATGTCCTGTGTACAGGCATCGTAAAGGAATTAGAAAAACTGCATAGTTCCCCTAATCTACCCATCCCCCCCCCCATTTTGAAGGGCGTGTGGTAAAAGGACCTTGAAGTATGAGTTATCAAATTTCAGCCATTGGGCTGTCCAGGATTGTCCTCCAGGTGCTCCAGGCCCATCTTTCTGCATATAGAATGTTACACATGAATTTCCAATTGCTTATTAAATTCAAGTTATATTATGACTTGAAATTATTTGATCATCACCATGTAGACTAAGCCTAAGAGATGAAATATGACTTTAAATAGTTTAAAGAAATTTGCCACAACAAAAGATTCTTATAACTTTGTGGGCGAAAGGATAGATAATATACTGTATACTTAGTCTCAGGCTTGCCCCAGCCACTACGATCCGGTCTAGACCTTCCCAGTGTGTGCGCACCAGATAATGCAACAATTTCCTGCAGATCAACTTGATAATCAAAATCAGAGACATATTGCAAGTATCCAACCTACTACCTTATCCCTTTTGAGAAACAAAGGAAAATACCTTGTCATTTAATCCCATTCGGTAGAAAACCTGACGCAAATGGTCAGCTGGTGAAGGAGGGCCAGCATCTATACAAAAAAATTCTGTTACTTGACAAGGTTGACAAGGGCTCTTCAAACAGGACGAACTATGAACAGCAGCAATATATACTCGTGAGAATATGAACAAACATGAGAGATAAGATTTTTGATGTTCTCAAGCATAATAAACACAACTAGATTTACATATTGGCTACATCTCCTCCAGCAATGAAAATGTCTAAAATGCTTGTTCTATACTAACTACCAATAGCTGGTATAAGCCTCTTGATATCATAGTTAAATTTCCACTCAAACTTCAATGCAATCCTACACCAGGGCTTTTCAAAAGCCATATCAAACTGAAAACCAAGCTTCCGCTGCTTTGTTGTTACTTTTATTTCGACTGGGATGGTTCTAATGGAGCTCAAAGAGACATTTTATTATATTATTTTAGCTTCGGATAAATAATGGACTAAATACAAACGACACATAAAACCTTCCTAGCTACTTGTTTGTATGAAGTGTTGTGCTGTAAATACAGCAATCCATTAAGGGCCTAAATGAAAGAGTCTCTCTTCTACACGGGTAAGGTTGCTTACATCTTGACAGTTGACACCCAAGACCCCAAGGGAGTTGTGATTATACTGGGTTTGTTGTTGTTGGGATGATTTCAAATTTGAAAAAATCTCTGTTTTTGGCTACATCTTGTTTGGGCCAATATACAATTGAATTGAGCCAAATCATAATAATTAGTTACATAATCACTAACTAATTTATTACCTTTTTTTATAGTAAAAGCATAAATACTACATTACTACTCCAAAATTAGTGGTAGGCTAGTCAATCCAAGTATAATGTATTAATGGAAGTTATATATGTAACCTATGTATGATGTATCAAGGTTTATTAACAGATGTATTATTATAAAAAAATAGTTATATGTTTTTTTATCATTGTTTCTCATTCCCAAATTAGTGGTAAACTTGTCAATTTAAGTTCTACAATCAATAGAAAGGAAAATTTGAACTTTTTAAATAACAATGTGGCATCCTCCGGATAAATAGTCTAGTTACCAGGAAGTCTCCCTTCTTCAGGGCATTGTTCAGGTGCAGAGACGTCCACCCTTCCATATCTCATTGGAATTTTTGGGCCTCCAGCTTCCTAAAAATTCCAAGAAAGTGGTCAGTGTATGTTTTAAACTAATATAAATAGCAAGCAGTCAGTCCAGAAGCAGATATAAGAGTAACCTCAACAGCAGTAGCACCAGCCAACTGAAATAAGTCTGCATATGTCACATGAGAGTATTTGTCTTTGATGGGCTGGAGAAGCTTCAATGCATTCACAAGTCCTATAATGCAGCCCATTAGAGTAAATAAGAAAAAGTAAAATTAGAAGCAAATAATGTTTAATATAGTATATCTTTACCAGCATTGGCTGCATGTTTCAGCTCAACTTCAAATCTTAAACTACCATTAGCACCACCTCTCCATGGCCATTCCTCAATATTCTTATTGTAAGTACCAGCATCATGCCATCCCAAGCGAATCTATCACATAAAAATCTATGTAAACAATTGAGATGAATGAAGAATCTCCATCTATGCTACAGCTTAAATATTATTCTCTAGAAATTTATTAATAATAATGAAGACTCAAGAGATACTGAGAAAGAAATGTAAGATTGAAGACACCAAGGAAAGGTTACAAGCTTTGCACTAAATATATTGTAACCCATAAATCTAATTGAAAATCAGCTGAAGTGTCAGGGAAGCCTCTTTAGACTTAAGAGAGTTGTGCACGTGCCAAAAACGTGCCACTCTACTCATCCCAATACCATAGAAGCTAACTCTCTACAAATGGTCATGGGAAAAAGAGCTAGAACACAACCAACATTCAACAAAAATGTCACACAAGGAATTATAATGTGACGTCTCGAATTACTTGGTAAATGCGGCCCAGTAAAATTCTATTTATCATCATTGGAAACTTCTGCTAAGTGAGAAGCAACCAATAATTAGATATCCTCGTTACAAGTACTATTTTTATTGAATGAGGCTTGTGAATTTATTAATGTATTTTAGGACATCATTAATTCAATCGTTTAGGGTACTGGGTAGTTTTAACCATACCGCCTTTCAAAAAGTATGGTACTGAGCTGACCTTAATGCCTTATTATTTCCATTTCTATTATGCCAACACCGAGTTCAAATATCTAGAATTCAATTTTTATGATCCCCAGACTGTCTATTCCTTACGATTGAGAATGATTCAAGTTTGAAAATTGGAAAGTGGTCAAGATCTCGCGCGAGGAAGGAACACATTTCACTGGGCCCCTTTGCATTGAGCTTGACCAGTGACTCAGTTGATATCCATTGCTTCTCAATTTCCAAACTTAAATTATTCACAATCGGAAGAAGTAGGCGGTCTCTAGATCATTAGAAGGAAATATTTGAGGATGTTTTCCATTTCTATTTCCATATTAAAAATTTAGGGTGCAAAACTGAGTTTTAAGTAGCATAACTCGATGTTCATATGATAAAAATAACAAGGCATAGAAGTCTGTTCAATGACATATTTTTTATAAGGTTGGGTTAATGGCATCAAAGAAACCCTTTATTTAATTAGGTCAGTCAAATGTGATAAAAACTACAAATTGCACACAGTAATCCATTTAAAACCAAGGACATAGTGTAGTTAGAATTCAGCATCAAGTGCCCATTGGGCTTTCTCCAGCATTCTTTGTAGGAGAGGTTTGAGTTAGCACCACTAGTTGGTAGTTGATATGTATTTTGTGGAAAACTTATCATAATTAAGTTTCAATCAAGCAATAACACCTGTGATCCGGAATGCTTATCAATTGCTATAGTATGTAATTCATGAAATTTTTGAAAAATGGAACTACAGTCTACACATCTTGAAATAAAAAATCTATGACATCTATTTCCTCGTTATTCATGTTCAAGTGCTGCATCATCATGAAAATTGCAATGAATTTTGTTGGATAATTCAATTCCAGAAAGAAATACAGCACAACCAGTAAAATCCTACAGAGTGGGTATGTGGGTATGATGGCAGTACGCAAGCCTTACCCCTATTGAGAAAGAGTAGAGAGGCTTTTTTTTAACACTGTGTCACTGTGTGTGTACAAAATAATACATAGAGAATACAAGCAAATTCTATCAGAAATTCAGCATCAACTTGCTGAAGAATTCAATAACTTGATACATACTCCTTAGAGCATTAAATCTTGAATAATGCAGTGCACTGCTAGGATTCCAAAATTTTGCAGAAAAATGCAAGTTCCAACGCTTTCTAAAACTTTTTTTTTAATAAAAGGGGAAATGCTAAATTTCCAGAATCCACTTCGGACATAACCATCGCCACAACATATTGTCTTAAACAGAGATACGCAAAAATAAGAATGTTAACGAACTGAGCGTTACCAGAATCGGATGGCAGAACTTGGCCTTGAGAAGCTCCTTGATATCTTCTCTAGCACTCTTCAACTGATCAGGATCGGAGGCGAAGGACTTGGAAGCAGACACCGTTCCGTATCCCGAACTCGAAACCCGAACTTCAGGTCGTCGCTGAAAAAAATAGAGCAAGAACACGGTCATAGAACCTATCAATAGCTCAATTTCAAGAGATGAGAACAAAACATGAAGCGAAATGAGCAGTAATCAAAACTACTCGGCGACTGCTACCTGATTGACGAAGAGGCGAGAAACGCGATGAGAGGATCGAAGGTGGAGGCATTTGAGCGGGGAGCGAGAAGCAAAGCAGGAAAGAGAAGAGGAATAAGAAGAGAGTGAGGCGGCGGAGGGGATGATGCGAGAAGCGGCGGCGATGGCGGCCATTTTGGTAGGAGGGGGTTGCGAAGGGAAATGGAGTAGTGAAGGAGTGAGCAACACGCGTTCTGCCATGTGGCTGGGTTAGCTTTGGGCCTTGCTAACCACACACCCCAATCCCATCCCATTTAACCTAAATAGGTAGTAGATAAGTTAAGTTAGATAAGTTAATAGACACATACACTTTTAATTAACATAAAGCTTAACTTTTTAAATTATGGAGTGTGTTTTGATGATTTAGATTAATTTTTAAAATATCATTGTTAGATAATTTTTTCTAAATGCTAAGTGTCTGTTTGGTACACGAAATTGACAGAATTATAATTGAGTTGGAAATTGAATTTTATGCAATTTATTTGAATAGAATTAAATTCTCCAATTTCAATTACTTTTTGGCACTACCCATTTTAAATCCACATATTTTTGTGCTACCAAATAACAGAATTAGAATTTTTTCCTAATTTCAATTCCATAGTTTAAATTTCGTGTACCAAACGGAACATAAATTTAAATAATAGAGTTGTTGCCAATTAGACACTAAATTCTTTTTTTGAATATTATTTTTTAGTTTAATTTGTAACATTTAATGGAAATTAATTTTTTTTATTTAATTTACTTATCTTTTAGTCTATAATTTAACTATTATATATATATATATATATATATATATATATATATATATATATATATATATATATATATATATATATATATATATATATATATATATATATATATATATATATATATATATATATATATAAAANCAAGGTCTCTAAAAATAGCTGACAACCAACCGTCAATTTTCAGACAATGTAATTTTTTGTATCTTACCTCATTACATGTCCATATATATATATATATATATATATATATATATATATATATATATATATATATATATATATATATATATATATATATATATATATATATATATATATGGACATGTAATGAGGTAAGATACAAAAAATTACATTGTCTGAAAATTGACGGTTGGTTGTCAGCTATTTTTAGAGACCTTGAATAGTCACAAAAACATCCTAAAGAGAACCATTTTCCGATATCTAACCGTGGTAACACAGAGTATAACTAATCGAACCCACATCGTATCAAAACCTTGCTCAACCATCATATGATAGACTAATATAGGAATCTCGCTCCATACAATCATATGCCTTCGAACAAGTCATGTTGTTGATCACTTCTCTATAGCTGTAATAAAATTGCGTGAACCATTTGATGTTTTTGGAAAAATCGTAATGACGCCGTTCGGAATCATTATGTGGCACCCAAGCGGCTATTATACGTGTAATAAATCATGTACATAAATAAGTGTTGACAGGGACGTCTTATGAAGTTACGAGTAACTATTTTGGAGTTGCTACAACATGATGAAAGTTCGAGTGAATGGAAATGTAGCTTTGATACATCCCTCTTCCCACAATCTCGTGAATTTTATGAATGATTATTTTAGTTTATAAATTTTATTCTGGCGAAATTTTTAATGATATCACTTTTTTCAAAAAATTCATGTCTTTATATTATTTACATTAATATTATAAACTTATAATATTATTCTACAGAGTAAAATCCCACTCCAACCATCAAAATTGGATAAACTTTCCTCACTAACCCTACGCGGCCACGCCTGTCTTCTTTTTTCTTCTTCACTCCCAATTTCTCCCGCCGGTGAAGTGCAAAACCTGCCGGAGGCGACGGAAGCCTCCATTTCCGTTGCGTAGCTGCAAGGTTAAGTGGCATTTACCACTCCATGGCCTTCATCAAATTAAGATTAAGCTTATACCGCTCTCTCTCCCCCTTGTCACGTTTCAGACTATACTCCTCTTCGTCTGCTCCGGCTATAGTCTCAGAAGCTCAGCTCGGACATGACACAGACGATGACGCCGAAGTTCCTCAAAACACCGACCTATCCCCTGAAGAAACCCTAATCGCCGATGAATTTCACGCCCTGATAAAAGACCATTACCGGAGAAATCCAAACCCTAACGCCGCCCCTGCTGATCCCAATCTCACCCTCCCCGACCTCGCCGCGGATTTCTCAAAACTCTCCCCCACGTACTCGGTTTCCCCCTCCATCGCTCGCAGCGTGATCCAGAAATGCGGCGGCGTCCGCCATGGCACCCCCTTCCTCCAATCCCTAGCGTTTTTCAACTGGGCCACCTCCCTCGACGGCTTCCCCTCCTCCCCTGACCCCTACATAGGAATGATCGACCTAGCCGGAAAGCTGCGGCAGTTTGATTTGGCTTGGCATCTGATCGAACTGATGAAGGCTCGCAGCATCGAAATTACGTCCCTACCCTTCTCCCTTCTCGCCCGGCGTTACGTCAGAGCCGGATTCCCCGCAGAAGCTGTCCACACCTTTCATCGAATGCAGGACTTTGGCTGCACTCCTGATAAGGTAGCATTCTCCATTGTTATCAGTATCTTGTCCAAGAAGAGAAGGGCAAGCGAAGCTCAATCATTTTTCGACAGCCTTAAGCATAAATTCCAGCCTGATGTTGTAATCTACACCAGCTTAGTTCAAGGATGGTGCCGCGCCGGTAACATTGAGAAAGCCCAGGAGGTTTTCAATGACATGAAGCTTGCTGGAATCAAACCCAATGTCTACACTTACAACATTGTGATTGATGCGCTCTGCCGCTGCGGTCAGATTACTCGTGCCCATGATGTTTTTGCAGATATGATTGATGCAGGGATTAATCCCAATGTTGTTACTTTCAACAATCTCATGCGCGTTCATGTCAAGGCTGGAAGGACTGAGAAGGTCTTGCAAGTTTACAATCAGATGAAGAAGCTAGGGTGTTCTGGTGATACGATCACGTACAATTTCATTATACAGAGTCATTGTAAGGATGAGAATCTTGATGAAGCCACCAAAGTTCTGAATTTGATGGTCAACAAAGGGGTTGCTCCAAATGCCTCGACTTTCAATCCGATTCTCGGGTGCATAGCAAATGCTAAGCAAAAAGATGTAAATGCATCTCACAGGATGCATGCCAGGATGAATGAATTGAAGTGTGAGCCCAGCACGTTGACGTATAATATATTGATGAAAATGTTTGTTGACTTGAAATCGATCGATATGGTTCTGAAACTAAAGAAGGAAATGGAGGAGAACCGAGTGGAGCCTAACGTGACCACATACAAAGTTTTGATCTCAATGTACTGTGAGATGGGACACTGGAACTATGCCTACCAGTTTATGAAGGAGATGGTGGAAGAAAAAGGCTTAAAACCGAATTTATCTATTTACAAAAGGGTCCTAGAGATTCTGAGGAATGCGGGACAGCTTAAAAAGCATGAGGAGCTGGTGGAGAAGATGGCTGCGAGGGGATATGTGGTTCGCCCTTTGTAGAAAGTAGCTTTGATAGTGTGTTTTAGAACAACTTTTGAGCTTCTACTCCACCAAAAATGCAGTTTTTGAGTTTTTAAGGATCTTCTTTAGCTTATGGATTGCGGTTCCAGAAGTGCAAATTGAGCTCTGGAAATGCTTTTTAAGCAAAACTAAGAGTAAGTGTTTTCAGCTTTCAATCCCATATATGGAATTTTAGTTTAGATTGTTTCAATTCTCATGCTTTGTTAGGGTAAATTTGTTTTGAAGCTCATTTGTGGGCACCAATCCATTTGATTACAATTGCGTAGAGCTTTCCTTGTCTCTTATTCTCTTCTCTTGATCATCAATCCAATAACCATTGCATTGCATATTAATGCAATGGAATAATACTTACTCCGGGGTAGAAAGTAAAAGAAAAATCTAATGAAATTTAATTTAATTGATGGTCAAAGATCATCCAAATCAAGTTAAAAAGAACCAAATAAAACGAATGTATTGAGATAGAGGAAGTAATTCTCCATGAATTATTTTTTATGTCTTGCCCTCTTTGTATAATGTCTAGTGTATTGTCAATAAAGTACATTACAAATTGCTCCCTACATCCAACAATTATCTTCTCACCGCGCGATACGATGTTTGACTGAAATTATTTTCAAATCATTTTATATGCAAAATACTGAAAATTTGAAAAATAAAAATTACTTATTTAAAAACCATGTCAAAAGTTCTATAAAATTAGAGGTGACATAACTATAATACAGAGTATTTATCAAATAAGCAATGAAAATAGGTTAAGAAAGTATATAGAATTTGACTCTGTGAATAGGAAACGGAAAGATAATTGTTGGACAAAGGTCGGGCAATGTTTCATCCAACCATTGTTAATTTAATAGAGTCAATTGTTGAATACTCATTTATGTGATCAGCGATTAATCATTTAGGGAGATGAAATCCATGTGAATGACTGAGAGCTCGCCTTACGAGCAAGCGTATGAGCAATACAATTAGCTTCCTTGGGTGCTTTGAAATCAAAGCAAAATGAAACCCAACTAACGTCTTACAATCCTTAATAATGTTCCCTAGATACGAGAGAAGGTGAGAAGTCCTGAGATTTCTGAGAACTTAGCTCCACATTTGTACCTCATTCGCCTTTGCCTAAATGAGTGCTTCTCTACACCTCATTCGCCTTTACCCAAATTAATGCATTACCCTATTCGCGACAACCACAAAGTTCCCATCTGGACTCAGAATAAGATAGCCGAATGCCACCTCTCCAGAGCTCGAGAAAGGGTGGCATAACGAAGAACTAGAGACTATGTTCCTCATCTTTCGTATGACTTCAACTAGTAAGCATGCTTCAACGAACTTCGACTACCTTGTCATGAATCGCTTCTTGGACCCATCTAACCACGAGCTGGGGTATGGGAAAGTCATGGTCCCACACCGCTTTGTTTCTCGCCTTCCAGATCGCCTAAATAGCATATACTACAACCTTCATTTTGGTCCTGTAAAGAAGCTATGGAATACAACTACTCCATCCTGTCGAGGAAAGATGCCATCAAAGCAGTCCAATTCCTCCAACCATAAGACTGGGGTTCAAAGGGACAGAGTGGAGCATTTTAAGATGTCCAAATTAAGTGATGTCACATTATGATACTTATGGTGAGTGTCAAAAGAGCCAGTCCAATAAGAAATAAGGGGACAATTCCCATGACATTGCCCGACAATGTTATGAGATAATTCGGGGGCGCTCCAGTGTCCCGTTCATAAAATTGACGGTTTCTACCTCTTAACCCCCGATAAACCCGCACCCCGACCTGAACACCGCCCCTTAATTGTACTCCACAAGTTGATTTTGACTTTGGAGTCAAATTTTGATTCCAAAGTCAAAAAAATTTCTTGAGGTGCAATTGAAAGGGGTGGGGGAGGGGAGTGTGTTCGGGACAAGGCAAAGTGAGGAGGTTTATCGGGAGTTAGAGATAGGAACCTTCAATTTTACAAAGGGGGCACCAGAGCACCCCTAGGTCATACCATGACATGGGGTTCCTGGGAACCCTACTGAAGAAACAATCTAAATATATGTAGCCAAAGGACAAAAAGGTTTGAAAGTCCTCAATGTCATAATATAACACGAAGCTATTTGAGTATCTTACGGTGCGCCGTTTGACTTAAGAAGTAAAACCCAACCGATAACCTACAAGAAACAAAACACTATTTTTTTTCCTTTTAACGCAAAGTGCAGCTAAAAAACATCAGATTATTGGCAAAAAATGTGCGAAACTTAAGAATATGGGCGTAAGTTTTTTCATTTTAAGAGTAGGCATAAGTGAAATCGTTTATTAATCCACCTTCATTTAACAAGTCAGAACTAAGATTTACACTGTCCTTGGTTGTAATTAGAATCTATAAACTAAATATTTTTACTCCATACCAATTTAAAAAACAACAAACCTGGCTATTCTTCTATTGGACAAAGAAAAAAGTTTCATTACAACAAGTTGTCAATACAAAGAAGCTCTGCCAAATAGATGTCATTACAAAGGACACTACTGTGATTGTTTGAACTAACAGAGAAGGGTGTTATTCAATTCAATTAAACATAAAGCTAATTTTAGAGAACAATCAAAATAAATGCGTACGTTCCCGTGCAGCTCATATTTGCAGATCATCCAACGATAGATCATTAACAGTCAACATTTTCAATTTCTGCACCAGTGCAAAAAAAAACTGTATCAGTCGCGAGATAGCTCGAACCGAACATTTAACTCATTGTTTTGAATATTTGTTCTTATAATAAAAGTTTCCTCAATTCTCACTAGGCTTAATGATTTGAACAAACTTGTAAGTTTGAGTAAATTCATCATATATACTCTGTTTCAAAACATATATTTGACTTCTAAATGGATTAAAGAATAAACAATTTTTTAATTTATACTCAGTATATATCAAGCTCAATTAGGTTCTCGACTCGCTAATAAATGAGTCAATCTCAAACCAACCAAGATTTGGTTGGGATTGGTTCATTTATAGCCCAGTATGGCGCTGTTTGTTTTGGGTGTGTGTGCATGTCGGGGTGGGGTGGGGTGGGGGTGAGGACATTTGAAAACAATGTAATAAAGGAATCAACTTGCGTACCGTAATGAATTGTGGAGGATCATCAAGGCTTGATGATCCTAAAATCACTTCTCGCTTTAGCTTTGTCGTTAGTTTGTGACAAGCGCGTAGCTGGAATACCATGAGATATACGAAAACAGGGTGAATCTTAAAATGCAAGTACTAGAAACAAACTTTGCTCCAAGCCTCAACAACAACAAAAACAACAACTATGTACATCTGGATGATGGGTATAAAAGAACCAGGAAGTGCAGCATATATATTGTAAATATAAGTGTGCAAATGTACCTCAGATCTAGTTGCCCCGCCAACTATAAATACAAAAATACGTTGACCCTTTTTCTTAATGTCACTTGATGTATGCCTCAAAATTGAGTCACTGCAAGAAATAAATGGGGGATCAGATTATGAATCAGAAGGTCCGGGATTAATATGACACAAGTGAAGAGGAACAGAGCAAATGAAAATACTCCATCCGTCCCCTAATATAGTTTGCACACTTTTGGCTTCACGGTTATTAAGAAAAGTGTTGAAAAGTAAATTGTTAGAATTTGTTTGGAAGAGAGAGAAGTATTTTGATCCATGTATTCTTTTACAAAAGAGGAAAGAGAAGTGAGAATTGTTTTTTGGCGGATTAAAAAGGAAGGTAACAAAACTTTTGTGGGACGGAGGGAGTAGTAAAATATCAAGTGCCACTTTGGTAGAGTTTTTGTTTAACGAGCTTTCTACAAAACACCAACTTATTTTTACTGTGAGAGCTGAATGTATTGATAATAAAAAAAAAGTAGTGCAAGAGTCTCTGGTTATTATAACTGAAATAATAGAAAATGGTACTTTTACCTTTACAAAAACAGCAAGTATCCTACAAACAGGGTCTGGAGAGGGTGGGATGTATACAATCTTACCCTACCTAACGTAGATACTAGATAGAGTGGTTGTTTCCTAAAGACGCAGTTCAAAACAGATTTACTGTAAGATTTTATTCAAAGTTTCCAAAAACATGAGTTGTTTTGATACATATTATTTCCAGATGTTTTCGTTATATTATTTTGAAAAATAAGTACTCCCTCTGTCCCAAAATGTTTCACACATTACACAGAACGAAGCAAAATTTTAAGTTCTTTCAATTCATTTTATTTAAAGATTGGTATAGAAATAAAAAATTAATTTACATATTCAAAAACTAAGTGAAAAGTTCTTCAAAAAAAGATATGACAGAAATATTTTATTTTATCATATAATCAATGAAAACATACAAATAAACAGAAGTTCCCGTGATTTTTTAATAGTGAACGGAAGGAATATGTTTTTAAACATTTCAGATTATTCAACAATTTATATCTCAATGATAGTTTCTGCAACTTTAGAGGGAAATACTATTCTCCAATCTCAACCAAACTGCCTCAAAATCAAAAGCACATAGACTATAGTCAATACTCAATATACCTCGAATACCCATCATCAGAACCTCGAGGGCGGGCCCAAGTTGCAGTCCGTCTAGATCTCATTGAATGAGGAGCTGGAACATTGTTAAGTCGCATTGACCCACCCTGCAAGGTCCCATGGAATGTTGGGCATGGATCGTTCATGCATGGATATTCATTCTTGGGGAGATCACCTTTGCTCAACTTTTCAACTAGTTCCTACAAGATGACACAACTTAGGGACACAAGATTACTAGTCTTAAAAAAAATCGAAGCACAGATGTGACTGCATGTATATTGTATAGCATAATAAAATGCAATGTACCAAACCTCAATCACGGGGAAGAAACGGGATAATTGCCAGGTTGATTCTTCGTCGGTTCGTTCTTTTCTTGTAGAAGAATGCTTCTTCTGTAAATCCAAGAGAAATTTCTGATGAGAAGGACATGCTTGCACGCAAAACACATGAATTTCACATCCATTTACATACCTTATTAACATCAAATTTTAGAGAAAAAGGTACAATCGAGCTTTTTTTGTTTTCTGATGCAGCCTCCAGTAACCTCATATTGTACACAGCATTCATATCATCTTGTGGCAGTCCTGCTAACTAAACAAAAATATCAAGATGCGCCGAAAGAAATAGCATAAAAAATGAATTTCTCATTACATTATCCACTATGCATGGTGTCAGTACTTTTTGAGATGAAAGTAACTGGAAAAGTGGGAAGAGATTTTTTATCAGACAGTAAAAGATATGCCCAACCAGTTTTCATAATGCCCATATAGAACTAGAGCCAAATGCATAGTCAATATCTAGACTCTCAAAATCCCAATGTTACCCACTTGAGACATCCTTGGATTAAAATTGATAACAAGTGATTTTTATCAGCATGGTGCACCAGGCTGCCAAATTTTTTGTTACCAAGTGAAACTTGCTTCAAAATGCGGAATTTACAAACAAAAAACAAAATAAAATTGATTCTGCATGGAACTTCATAGGATATAAAGGGACATAGAGTATTTACTATATACTCCACTCTGGCCCAAAAACAAAAAGGCATGTTTCCAAAGCTCACTTTTGTCTCAAAAAGAGACATTTGAAACAAGTTAGTTTTTATTGAATTTACTGTTATATTTCTAACACAAACAAATGAATTTCAAAATACAAGTTGGATAGATGATTTAAAAGTTGTGACTTAGACCCTTGCTACAATAAAAAGTTGTATGGTTGTACTTGTACCTTGATGAAACATGACTTTTTTGGGACTGATGATAATGAAAGGGGTGCACCCTAGTGCCAAAATATCTACACAATCCCTTTCATTTAATTTTCTTTGTTTTTTGTATTTTTTTGGTGGTGGTGGTGGGGGGGGGTGTAGTTGCTGGTGCGGGGTCTGAAAAAGGTCGAGCCATTATAGGATGGTGTATAGAGTCATACCTTATGCGGAAGAATTTAAATTTCTTTGTTTTTTTTGGTTGGAGGAGGGGGGGGGGAGGAGGAGGAGGTGGTGGCGTTGTTGTTGGTGTTAGAGGCAGCCAGGCTTATTACAGGTCTGATGAAGGTTGAACAATTATAGGCTGGTGTACAGAGTCATGCCTTATTCGGAAGATATTCTTATAAGGAGTTATTCCTAGGGCTTGAGCCCATGACCTAGTGACCACAACGCACCAGCTTTTACCACTGCACCCACTCACCGAGGCTCCCCCCCCCCCCCCCCCCAACCAATATTAAAAAAAGGATCAATAAGCAGTTACCTCCATTAGTTTTACGAGTTTATCATCTTCAAATTTCTCAGGATGAACTGCTGCATATATCATTAATAACCGCAACTTGTTTTCACGTGATACATCCTACAGAAGCGAGTTATAAGGCTGTGTAAGTACTTGTGAAGAATTAAACATCAAAGGTACAGTTCATACCTGATTCATTCTTAGGAAGTTGATGACATCTTTTGTCCCAGCATCTCCAAAGACAAGATTTTGCTCTAATTGCCCTAGTTCTCTAAGTCCAAACTCTCTGATAATTTTGTTCAGCTTTCCAGCAATCTGGTAAAGTACCAAAAAATATATATAATTACTGAGAAGTTTTGTAATCCCTGCTAGATTAAAGTTTTTGAATAAAAGCAAAAGGTGATCCGATTCATAAATTCTGAATTTCTGATTAAGGTGAAAAAGAATTGAATGTGTCAACCTCAATTGAAAGTTCACCAATGTACTTCAAGCACAAAGCAGGTGCAGGAGATGAGGTATTTAGTGTATCATAGCATCATTGCGTCTATTAAAGGAATTAAAATCTTGATGTCTCTCACACCAATTCAAGTCTTAGAGTGAATGTTTTTCCTTCCAATTTACATACTAATGTCTAATGGTGAACGTCCTTGCCTTTACCAAGGTTTTGAAAGGCAAAATCAGGCCTCGATGTGGTGGGAGCGGGACTCTCTGACATAAGGCTTGATGAGGCATACGCCTCAATTTAATTTAAATGGAATAATATGGTGTACAATAAAATGCATAATTCATACTGTGAAATAGAGTAGTCCTCTTACTGCAGCGGTAAATTATTATAAGTAAAATAAATTTAACAACAGATTTTGAAAAGTTTTAAAAACAGAATCAAACAATGTTAAACAACAACAAACTACTGTTACCAAATACCGACAATAAGTAATAGAGTAGTAGTACAATTCTCCAATATAAACAGCTACAAGCTAAAATCTCAATTTANTGCGAACTGATTAGAGGAACTAAGTGTTAAAACAAAAAGATGAAGACAAGAGGATCAGACCTGATCGCAAACAGTAGACCAAACAACTATAGTTTTTGCTGAACTGGAGTGAAGACGTGAAGTAGAAGATTGAGAAAGTGAGAAACGAAGTGTGATGTCTTTTTTAATAGGCTCCTAAGTTTTCTCAATATAAATCTACAATTCTACTATTTACTATTTATAGTGTGGTTGTTAGAAAGAATTAAGATAAAGCAAAGTAAATTATGACTTTGTTTCGAAACAATGCTTGTGGCTAGCATTTATAGAGTCTCTTGGAAACAGTCTCCCTACTTTCGAGTAGGGGCAAGGTTTGCACACACGCACCCTCCCCAGACCCTTCTTTTGTGGGACCCAACTGGGTTGTTTGTGATACTTTTTTAATGATGCAAATTTACTTTGAAAATGCTTAGCATTTTCAAAACGATAAGCTACACATTAAAGCTTATTCCAAACAGAGTCGATAGCTTTTAAGAACTTTCATAGAATCATGGTAAAAGTCTGAAGTTTGAGCCTTGTTTAGGCCTTGCGCCTCATCCACCTCGGGTGTAAGCCACTAAGCCTTGAAATACCAACATGTTGCTTAAGCCTTTGAGGCTAAAACCCGCTACCATTAAGCCTCACCGGAGCCACCGCCTCTAATGACTTCGAAAAATCGTGGCCTTCACTTTTTCATTAATAATTTAGATGCAGTTAGTTCAACATTTCTAAGTTATCAAAAGTATGCCTTAAGCCTTTAACATTACCAAATAAATTTCAAGTGCATATGCCATAGAAAAAAAATCATTCTAAACGGAATACCAACTAGTCAAGAATGCAAGTAGTGGACAGACTATTTATCTTTTGAAACCAGCTTATAACTAAATTGTCCTTCCATCTTTTGATACATTTAGTGCATGGGAAAGTATCTTCCCATGAATTATAATTCCTCAAACTAGATGAAAAAGTTTCCAAACCAAACACGTATCATTTTTCCCTTCTGTATTTTCCACTCACTGAAGTGGAACCTTCGTACACTGGTTGAGGTGTTGATGTGTAACCTTGAGATCACAAGTTCGAGTCTTGTAAACAAACTCTTGCAAAAATGTACAGAAAGAGTTGCCTATATTACATCCTTGTGGGTGAGACTCTTCCCTGTACCCTCACTTAAAGGGGATCCATGGATGCTTATGCATTAGCTGTCCATTTTCCCCTCTCATTCAAGTCATTACTATCTCCCAAGCAATTGGATCTGAAATCCTCCATTATTCCCCACTTTCTTCTCACACTCTATTTTCCATTTGTTCACTTCTTCCAATCAAACACCCCAAAACCACATAAATGTTATTTATAACCATCAACTTAAAGGGGTATGCAAAAAGGGAAAAAAACCAGAAACGAATTCCAACTACAAATACTCAACAACAATCCAGTATAATCCTAAGAGTTGGAGTCTAAGGAGTCAAGACGTACTCAACCTTACCCATATAATATATAGAGAGTCCCTTAGACCTTTGATGCATTGCTACGTTTACTATAAAAAAACTCCATTGGAATTAAGAAGCAAAGGAAGTTTAATGTGTTATCTTGAATTAGTCCATTATTTAGCCAAAGCTAAAACATGGTCTTCATATTGCAAGATTTCAGTGAAAACTGACAACAGCCTGCCAAACAAAAGCAAAGAAAAAAAGAGCAACAGCACTGGTGCCAATTTCTTTAGGAATTGCGGATTTCTTGGTACATCATATTCATGCATTTATGATTCATGACCATAAGGAAAAGGTTTCCACTATATCTCAGGAGTAGTAAAAGGTATAAAGTAATTCGATTGGTTTAGAAGATAATTGAAGAAAGAATGAAGGAGTGGCTGTCAAATAGAATCGTGGAACTAAAATAAAGAATGGACTCTTTTAGCTCCATTGGCAATGGACAACATCAACTACTAAAATTCCATGTTTTATATATCATTGACGCTTGTTGGGAGTTCAAGTCGTGCTTAGCCTGACTAGGGAATCAAAGTACTAGCCAGCCAAGAAGTAAAATAAACTCTTTTAGCTCCATTGGCAATGGACAACATCACCTACTAAAATTCCATGTTATATCATTGACGCTTGTTGGGAGTTCAAGTAGAGCTTAGCCTGACTAGGGCGCCTAATCAAAGTACTAGCCAGCCAAGAAGTAAATCACTCTAGGGGCAACTAGGTCGAATTTAAGAGCAATGGTAATACTACTCCAGAGCTCATGTTATCAGATGGAGGTGTTCTCCATTAGAAAATGGGCTAAGAATCAAAATACTACTATGACATTATGCAGACGATCTGCTATTAGAAAACACGGCTGAAATTTTGAAATTAAGCATTAGCTCCATTAAAAACAAATATATGCAACATGCACACAACTCACATCTACATGGAGAGAGAGCTTCTCAATTTGTTCACTATATTGAGGCAGAGCATGAACCATTTTTTGCAAATCCCTTGTAGACAACTCACCACCTCCTCTACAAAATGACCATTTTGCAGTCAGAACAAAATGTATTCCAGAATGCTGCTACTTGACAGACTAAGATTCTTAAATTTAGATGATTTCAATATGGTAAATTTAAAAAATTAGAAATAAACTCATGCTAACCTTGAACCATGCTGCATTTGTGCAGCTTTATTTTTGGTGACAAAGTTCGTCATCTTTTCATGCAGCCGTTCACTAGCCTGAGAAATCAAACAGTGATCAACAAGGGAATACATCTATATTTCATTACTTGCAAGTAAATACATGAGCATTGAGCATACATCTGCAATATGTGCATGACGAAGCTCTAACCAGATTGGGTCATGATCCTCCAAAAGCACATCCTTCATCTCTGGAAGCCCACCCGTTTTGCTTGGAACCTAAGAGGTAAATTACTTCACCGAGAAAGATACCAATATTGTAATAGTTGAATAAAAATTGGAAGCACTATCTACCTCATGTACATACTTATTTCCTTCCATGTTCAGCAAATCATGACACATGGCATCATATGTCCACTCATGTATGATTGGAGCAACCTAAGAAAAAAGAGAGCATGAGTAGAGAAAATTAAGAAAACAATTAAAAAGGGTGTTGTCACGGACCTGATCTACAGATCTGTCAACAATAAGAAGCTCGCATGTTTCTGTTTGTGGAAAATGCGGAAGGGTAGATTTATATTTCATGAGACAATTCCATACGGCCGCAGCAAGCTTTGTTGGAATTAAATCACGAAATGTAGTCATTGTAGTTGGATCAATGGATTTGATAGCACGGTAGTGAACAAATGGAAACTCCTGTAGAAAGACAACATGGTTGATGCTCCCTACTCAGCAGGGCTAATTATAATGAATAAGAATCAAGAAATTGGCATACCCGTAATGAGGCAAAAACTGTAGCAATGCGGGTGGCCATCACTCTCAGACATGCATCACCCTTGAGAGAACCTTCATCATCTCCAAAAAGTTCTTCTAGGGCCCTCTCATTATCAGTTACAAAACCCTAAAAGAAGGCATATACAATGACATATAAGAATATAAAAAAATTGCTTTTAATATGTAAGTGTGCTTAATTTATACTAATTTCTTATTATGAGATAGTGACATCTGTGCTAGTTAAAACACTTCATCTCATCTGAAACTTTATTTCCATACAATGGAAAGTTCACAGCCTTGTCAAAGCCATTTTGGAACCATTCCATGAGAAAAATTTACTTTACTACGGAAAAAAAAACTGAAATGCTCTAATGAATACTGTATCATGAGAACTTAAGTTTAGTACCGAAACCAGAGGAATTCACACAAGCTTTTTGGCTATTAGGTGCTGCAGCACCTTAGTCCATACATACCTGACTATCGATGGCAAAGTATTCCAAGTTCATCTGCATGGGGATCCAATAATCAGTAAAGGAAATAAAATATGAGAAAACATAATGAACAGCCTAAAATGGTGGTAGGAGTAGCTGAACTGGTTCCCTTCCCCATCCCTTCCTACCAAGGCTCAAAACTCCACCCAAAAATAACATAAAAAAGACTAAAAGAAGAAAGGCAAACCTCTCTAAGGGCACCAATGCGAGACAGAACACTAGTATCCCTTTTTATCTGATCGACCAGTTCTTTCGAAATGGATGAACTAAAGAAGACAAAGGCCCTAAAATCATTTTTGAAATGCACAAACTGAAAGTGAGAAACAACAAATATTTTAGATTTTTTAGCCATCAACAAGATAGCTTCCCAAACCTTTTATGTTGGACGCAACAGGAAAGGGAGCAAGTGAAAGTATAAAAAGTGGGGATCAGTAGAAGCTAAGACCAATCCAATAAGTTACTCTATCTAATTCGAACATATGGTTTGACACTAGAAAATAAAAATTGAACTGAAGTCAAGTTTCAATAAATAGAGAGAGGGCTTCAACATACTTTTTGTACAAAGGAGATTTCCCAGCCATGTCAGAGAGAAACATTAGAACGCTGCATATCAAGTAGGAGGATAAATCAGTCATCAGTTAGAGAAAAGAGCTCTCCATAATTAAGAGCTTAGAAACAAAAACATATAGAAGTCTTGTTGCTATTTACATAAACATTCAAAAGTTAAAAAAAATTATCGGTATGAATTACTTCTCTTTTGTAGGCTGGATGAAGTATATGGCGTCCATTGTGGGGACTGGTTGTCTTCGCCGGTAAATATCTTCCACCACTGTTGGCAAATATCAAGACAGTTATGTTTCAAATGTTGCATTAAACATTTCTTATTGGGCTTGTGGGTGTTTGTTGTTGTATGTTACATCATACGAAGTACATCAGAAAATGGAAAGGGTAAAAACATCAGTATGCATACCTAAGACAGAAAGCAAGGTGAAACAACATAATTTTGGAGTAGATATAAAACATGATGATTGAAGATCAAAATTACATATTTTTCTAACTCCATTTATATTGTGTTTAATAAATTCCATGGATAAGAAACATAGCAAAATAAACCACATAAAAAAAGAAAAATAAATAAATAAAAACCATATGAGATAAGCTTACACCACTTGGATTAAAAAAACTAACACCATTTGCATCTCATTAAAATTTAAAATGAAAAATGTATAGTATCAAAACATGGTATTATTAATTTATTATACTCCCTCCCTCCCAGAAAACTATAAAGGATTGCTGAAGTTGTGTGATTGAGATTTATGCCGAGAAGAGGGAAGTTAAGCTTACCTTGGGATTTAAAAAAAGGTGTGTCTTTAAACACATTTTAGCAAGGGTCTGCACTAGAAAATTTGAAAAGAATAACAAGAGGTGCATTACACTAGGAAATTTATACTCCCTCCGTCCCAAATTAATACTCCTAGTTTGACTTTGCACATACGAGGCATTACTTCTATATATTTACAGAAATCTGAATAGAAGTTTTATAAGACGTAATCAATCATCCTTCAAGAAATTTGTAAATAGTATAATGCAGATGTCCGGAGAGTGGCGTATTATGCCTTACAAGAAACTCCTTCTTCTGTGATGTCTGCCATCTTGCATGCATAAGACATTATCTTAACTGTTAGTTTGTCCATGATCAGTACCTGCAATGTAAGGGGTCAAACTGGCAAGCAATAAATTATTGTTTACCATAGAACAAAAATTAACAAATGACTTAATTTTCAACAGTTCAACAGATGACAAAGCACACCACAAAGTCACAAAAAGAATATGTACCTTCCATGTTGATTTTGAATCCTTTGATCGGGCAGATCTAAGCATTTCGTATAACAATCCTGCAGATGTAGAGCAAAGTAGATTAAGAAATGCAAAGTATGAAAGGAAATATTAGATACAGTATGATTCAGGAATCACGATGATAAGTGTAATGGAAAAAATAAAATTGCATTAAGCACGAGAAATTAAAATCTGATTCTGAAAAAAACCATAATACTTCATGTAAACACTGTAAAAACCATAGTACTCCATGTAAACCATAATATTAAAATTAAAAACAAAAAAAACAGGCAACCCAGTGCATAAAAACTCTTGCAAGTGTAGGGTTTAGAGAAGAACCGGGTCACTATAGCCGGATATGCACAACTTAACTTTATATTTATATACAGCACTGGTTCAACAGATTGAACCTAGTCTCTATGGATCACATATCAAGAAAACTCCAGAGATGGAAGATGTCATCAATGTCTTGGATTCTCAATTTTACCTATATTTTGTTTCGAGGTTGACCTAGTGGTCCAAGGGTTAAAATGTACCCAAATATGAAGATATTGATGATTTTTGCATTCTTGTTCAATGTACCCAAAAGTGAATTCACTTAGTTTAAATTATTAACTCTCACTAACTCTTGCAAAATACTCCCTCCGTCCACAAATAAACTTTACGTTCACTATTCACAGGGTCAAACTTTATTCACTTTGTTGGCCTATTTTCGTTACCCATTTGATAAAATAATATAGTCATGTCCCCTCTAGTTTTGTAGATCTTTTGATATAGTTTTTTAATATGTGATTCTTATTTTAAAATTTCACACCATTTTTCATATAAAATGATTTAAAAATAACTTCAGTCAAACATCGTAACGCGCAACGTAAAGTTTATTTGTGGACGGAGGGACTAACATTATAAGTGACAGTATCTGGTAAGCAATCCGTCTCACCCATTTTCCTAAACAAGTCTAGAGCAACATCTGTTTTACGCTCTCGACAGAGCCCATTTATCATTGCAGTGTATGTATGCACATCTACGTGTTGACCTTTAAAGATGAGGAAATTGAATACACTACATGCAATATTGAGACCCATCTTGCGCAACCCTTGTGATGGCCTTTCTGATGATTTGAACTATTATTAATCTTTGAATAAACTATTACGTTTTTGGGCATTTCGAGGTTGTATAGAATGTGGCACCTTACCTTTAAACCACATAATAATCCAGGAATTTTTTGGGTAGTGCTGGGTACAGTATTAAAGCTTTCCAACATCAAAAGTTGCAATAATATAAGCTGATAAAATGATAAATCTGAGAATAGTTTAAGTAACAATAAAATGCAGTGTCTTCTATTTGGAATTAGTACTGTTAGGTAGTTATATTCTTTTCCACCCAAGTTGCATCAAGATTATAGCACAAAAATGAACAGTGCAAACATTATCCAGGAAATGTGTAACTTCATAAAGTCATTAGTGGACTTTCCTGATCTATAATAGCCAAAGCTCCCAAAAGTGTTAATTCAACTATATATCCCTCTTTATAAAGGTGAGGTACTTCTACATCAAACCTACATTTCCATTTTCCCAATAGAAATGAAACACATGACACGGATACATTTTAGAAATAATCTTGTTTAGAACTTTATCTTTTCTACAAAGTGATTTCACTCATATAGTCATGCGTGATTTGGGTCTCTTGAAAACAGCCTCCCTACTTTCGAGTAGGGGTAAGGTTTGAGTACACACACCCTCCCTCGAGGGATTCAACTGGGTTATTACTGTTGTTGTAGTCATGCATGATTCAACTCCCTGTTTGCTCTCGTAAAATGAGAAAAGGCACTGCTTTCAGTTCTGCATTCTGTCTACAATATCTTGTATTTCCCCTATTCAAGGCGAAATAGAAAATTACACTCTCAAAAACATGCACTGTCACTAGTTAACTTTAGGCCTGTTTGGAGCAATGGGAAATTTTATATACATGTAACTCATATAAATGATAAATATTCCCTCTGTCTCACTGGATTCTTTGCACTTACTATTCACTCGTCAAACTGAACCTTCTTTCTTTACATATTTTCATCTATCATTTGGTAAAATAAGATAGTAACATAACCTCTTGTTTTGTAGACCTTCTAATGTAGCTTTTAAGTGTATAAATCTTACGTAGTATTTGTTAATTTTACACCAATATTTAAATAAAATGAATTGAAAATAATATTAGTCAAGAATCCAATGAGACAGAGGGAGTTATTTCATTATATTAGTAGTCTAGTACCAAGTCAAACTTTGTCAGAAGTTACATACTTACAAAAAAAGGATAAGAGTAAAAATTTTCATAATGAGCAATTCATGTCCTAATCATTTCATAAACAGTTTCAGATCAAAACTTCTGAATCTATCAGTCCACATTTCTTGTGCCGCTTATTTGCTTATGGCCCTAATTACTAGAAAGCAGAGAGCAGCAAATTTCTTGTTCGAATTGAGATGCTATTTGAGAAAAAAACAAACACAAGGCAATAAACCAGACTAAATCACACCAAACCAACCTAGTAAATCCCACTTTTTGGGTGAAAGTAAATCCCACTTGAGTGTAGAGTTTGGGAAGGTGAGATACACGCAGGCCTTACCTCTACCGTAAGGAAACCATAAGGAATAGAGAGGATGTTTCTCTGAAGGCTCAAATGAAAAAAAAAAATAAATCAAAGTATTGTAAAAAGTTAAAAGTTGAAAAAACTTGGTATGCCAACTAAGGCACACATAATGCACCCCTAGCTAGAGGGCCAGGAGAGCTGCTCAACCCCCAACAGAGGTTGCTCTCTTACCCTACAATAAATCTGTTAGCCTATTCCTACATTTCGATAAAAAAAAGAATGAGGCTCATCCCCGAGGGTCCCCTCAAACCCGGCCGGACGGTCATTGAGACAAGGTAAATTGGACTTTAATCACAGATTGGTGACAAAAAGTGGAGCCTGCACCTTGCACCTGGTAGTTGCAGAGGCCCAGCGCAATTGTCAAGAATTGAACTCGGGTCTTACACTCTTGGCACCCCTTGCCTTGCCAACTGCACAACGCCCACAGGCTATTCCTACATTTCTATGAACCTAAAGTAGAGGTCATGTACTCAAAGAAGTTTAAGAACGCAAAGTCCAGCCTCAACTTCTCATCACACATATTTCATTGTATCACTCCTCCTCGCTGCTCAACCAAGACGTTCACTCTTCTCACGGGTGAGGGGTATGGCCAAATTCCTCAGTCCATTGATTCATCAGAAACAAATACTCGGAGTAAAACAAGCTTTCTTTCAACTCCATTTCCAAACTGGTCCATAAACACCACAGCTCCACTTAACATCAAGCATAAATGACATTGTCCACACAATTTATCCAAATGATCGCATCCAACAAACAAATTCCGGAATCACGCCAAACCGATCACACAATAAGAAATTGAACAAATTAATCCTCGTACAGTTAGATAATCGCAGGAACTCGGCAGTAGAACATACTGAGTAAATGTCAAAGTGAAAAGAAGACTCACTGTCCCGCGTAATTTGCCGGAAACATTTGTACTCGCTTCCCTGAGACGACGAATCGGAGTCGGACATCGACATGCTGCTCCGATTCCACGGATTCCGATCCTGACTCTCGCGCTAGACGTTGAATTTCGTGTATTGATCAAAATCCTGTGGTTTAGCCAGAGAGAGATAGAGAGAGAGAGAGAGCGGGTTGATTGAGTTCGCAAAAACGGGTAATATGAGCCTGAGAACGACGTTGACTGTTAAAACCCGCTGTGTTGAATAGTATACGACCCGAATTTTGGCCTGCGTAATCCCAACGGCTTCTCCGCGTTTTGTGACCGGGTCCGGTAAGGAACTAGCAGCCGGATAACCATGCGCTTTGGGAATTTCTTTCCCAAAAAGATAGTCACTTCTTCTAGGAAAAAATGTGTTTGTTTATTGTTTTGGTAAAAAAAAATATTTCTGAAGTTTCAATCAAAATCACTTTTACACTATGTTTGACAAGGAAAGAAATTGAATAAAAGAAAGGGAGAGAATGGAAGTGAAATAACAATTTAATTACTGAATTATTTGATTAGAAAAAAACAAAAATGAGAGCTTTAACGACTGATCCACCTGTTTGTCTAGGGATTTGTCTTCATAATAGCTCTAGTTTTAACTTCACATATTTCGTAGCTCTCTCTTTTCCTAAGTAAATATCCATATTTACATATTGAAATGATACAAATATATTATGAATTTGGAAAAAATCTTTTGCAATTTCCGACACTATTCAGAACTCGTTCATTGAATCAGACGTATCTTGTAAAATAATTTCAACAATCATAAATTGCTACACAAGATGACTTGCTGCACAAGAAATTTCTTAGATGAACTCCACTGGGATTTTGATATTCCCTATATAAGTTGTGCATTGCCTCACAGATTGATTAGCCGAATGTACGAGAGAAATTATGAGAGGCTACGTTGAGATAGTTCTTCATATAAAAGGAGATCACGCCATCCGTCCATCTCTTTGCGTGATTTTTTTGAAGCTCGGTTTCATCATAGAAACCTCAAAGCTAAGGTGCTAGACGAACTGATTCACAGCTTGTGATCTGACATTCATGTTCTCCATCTTATCCAGATGTTAAATATCTTGTTGATCTAGAGAAGGATTGCAATCACATCTTCGCAAAAGGTTTTGAAGAAGCTATAACACGTCATTGAAAAAGACTCAATCAGGGTTTGAGTTAGAAGTCATACATAAGGTAGACTTTGTCATAAACATAAAGAAGATGCATTCTATTATTTGTGATTGGTATAATTTATTTGGTTGGTTTAGTAAAGGGTTGTTACACGGACATGTGTCTCGTAAAGTAGAAGAGTTTGTTCCGAACTGCGTAAACATTTTGTTGTGTCATTTACTGCTTTTTTTTAAATTATGCAATGACATAGAATATGTTACAGCACCCTGTAAGTCATATCTCACAATAACTTGTGATGTAGCATCTTTGTGTCACACCTACACGTTTTGTATGTGTTGTATGATCTACAGAACAATTTTGATCGGTTAGTCCCCAACCCCTCCCCAAATTTTAATTGGTATCAGAGCTGGTAAAGCTTAAGTTTCTAGCTAGATTCAACCATAAGGCATGGGTGACATGGAAAGGCGTCAATGTTCAACGATCACCACTCTTACATTGACCAGACTATAATTTTTGGTAAGGTCGCACGAAGGCTTTTAAAATCCCAAGGAGGGAGAGTCTAGAGGATCATCAAAACTGGTTGGGCTAAACCAAAAAAGGCAAAGGGTGATCAAACAGATAGAGTGGTGAAAGTGTTTGAAGAATATTCTAAGGAAGAACCTGCTGCAGCAAAGTTCAGCGATAAGACACTCAATATAATCTTTGGAGCTGTGGATAACACTCAGTATAGACTTATCTCTAATTAGGGCTGTTCATCGGTCCGGAACCGGACCGGACAGAATCGGACCAGACCAAAGACCGAAATAAGAATAAAGTAAGACCGAAGACCGGACCTATTAATAATCAGTTTTAGACCGAACCGGATCGAAATATCTTGGGTCGAACCAATCAAGACCGAAGTAACAGTGCAAAGAAGAAAAAAGTTAGAGCAGAAACGTAGGGGGGGGAGAAGAATACACTGGAAGAGATGTTTTGCAGCTTCATAAAAAATAGGAATCAAATGAGCACTACAAAACAAATGGACTATATTACATTCACATGGATGTTAAAAGCTAAAACTTCAATACTAATTGAAATTCTCACAAAAGATTAAGGAAGAATCTGAATATTAATTAAGACTTGAAGATTACCAAATAAATACCATTACACAAAAGATTTTCGTGTTTTGGCACTGAAAAGTACTTCCAAAAACGAGATCCGAGGGCTAGGGTTCAAGATTTAGTGTCGGCACCACCTCCATCATCCTCGAAGTCTCCTTTCTCTCGCTCCTTGGGCCTGTTTGCATCACATAAAAGCTCTTCCCCTTTTTGATTCTCTCGCGTTGAAGAAGAACGAGAAGAGGAGAATGAATGGATAACAAATGAATGGCTGAGGTGAGGCCTGAGGGTGAGTTTGCAACTTGGATAGATAATTGATACGGAGTAACTGACATAAGTAGTCGGTCCATTCGGTCCAGACCGAAATAATATCGGGTTTGGACCGGACCGGACCAAAACCCGAAAACTCAAATAATTAAGACCGAAGACCGACCCTAAATATATTCGGTCTGGGTTCGGTCCGGACCTAATGGTCCGGTTCGGTCGGGTTTTTCGGTCTGGACCTAAACATGAACAACACTATCTCTAATTGCTCGGTTGCTAAAGAGGCATGGGACATTCTTCAACCAACTCATGAAGGAGATGACAGAGTCAAGACTATAAAGTATCAAATTCTCATGACACAATTTGAGAATCTAAGAGTGGAAGAAGATGAAAGCATTACTGAGTTTCATGGAAGGATTTAAGAAATATCTAATGAAGTAATGAGGATGTAAATCTGGAGCAAGTGAGCAACCCTTTGAAGAGTAGAAACTTATCATCAAGGTGTTGCGCTCAATATCTAAGAAGTTTGCAATGGACGTTAAAGCAATCGGACAATCCCATTATGTCAAAACCATGAGCTTGGACGCCCTAATGAGTAGTTTGGAGACCATCAAACTACACATGAAAGATGAAGTCAAGAAATCAGACATATCTATTACTTTTCCAGGGATGAACTCTTAACGTTAGCATTTTGATAAATTTTTAGGGATGAAATTTTAAATTACAGTAGTGTTTTGATAACATTTTAGATTAACGGTAGCGTGTTGATAAAATTTTAGGGATGAAATTTAACTTCTACGGAGTAAAATGCTAAAATTATTGCCATACCATTAGATTAATTTCTCAAAACCTTAATCTCTATAATGAGTCCAGACTCCAAAGAGTATGAGAGCGTCGTTCCACTTTTTTAATCTCTAAAATGGGTTGCCAAATGCCAAATTGCCAATAGGGCCGTACTCTACTTACTCCACTTCCTAGATAGACTGCCGTCCGGCGGTCAACGGTGGGCACATTACCCCTCTGCTAGGTGTCGGCGGCGGCTAGGGATGACTTAATAAAAAATCATGAGTTTTCCTGGGGAGCTTTTGTCTTGTTCGAAAGATTCAGAGAGATGAGCTTGGGAAAAAACCAAAGTCTTCCTAGAAACAACAAATTCAAACACAAATAATAATGTAGGATTTTCTTCTAATATATATAATCCTCCCCCCCCCCATGCATTACAAACAAATCCAACTAAACACCAAAAAAAACAGATTATTAACACTAATCACTCTGTGATTAAGGATTCATTGGCACTTTTGTCCCTACCGGCGACGGCGTTGTCAGAGCATTACCGTCGTCCACGGCATCGTCGGCGGCGTTGTTGTACCGGCACAGTACCTTACACTTCACCACATTGTCGTAAACGTAGAAACCCGGAGTCAACATTATCCGGACCGTGGTCGGAACCAGCTTCCGAGCCCGGTCTCCCCCCTTGTCCTCCATGTATACCGGATCGAACCGGTTTTGCTCGTCCACTCGGAATATAGGCAGAGCCGGGTGGACCGAGTTGGCCAGGAGGTGGACCAGCCAGACGGCTTTTGATGCCCCGAAGAAGGCTTGCAGTAGCGGCTCCGGCCAGGCCCGGTTCCACGCCAGTAAAGTGACGACCTCGCTCATTTTCCGGTCGCAGAACCGGCTGAAATCCTCGGAGAAGAACCGGGTCCCCTTGCTCAGCACCTCCTCCCATTTCAGCCCTTGCAACCGGTTCACCGCCGCGAAGTTGGCGGCGCACCGGTCGAGCGGGTTCAGGACCGGGTTGGAGGAGCTCTTCTGGAACCGGACCGTCTCGAAGTCCTCGAAGAATGCCCGGCTCAGCAGGGCTTCAATGTAGAGCGGCCCGACCCGGGAGTTTTTTGACAGAGAGTTCTTGACGTCGTAGGGGTGGAGGAGCTGGGAGATCCGGTCGTGGGTTTTCCCGGCGGCCATTTGACGGAGGTGGACGGCGATGGATCGGGTGAGGACCCGAATCGAGGAACGGGCTTCGGAGACGGAGACCAAGAAACGCTGGATCACCCTTTCTTGATCCCCTGTTTTGAGGCACTGGAAAGTCAGGTGAGGGCGAGGATGGTTGCCGTAGGTTTCGAGGCCGGATTTCAAATCCCGGCAATACACTTCGAGCTTGTTGAGCTTCTTCTCCAGCTCGGCCATGGAGTTTTTCAATCTCGAAGCTTCCAAAACGGCGTCGTCCTTCTTCTTGGTGGCCTGGACCAGCTTCTGCGACAGCTCCGCCACCGCGGCCTTCCACTGATCCGGCGGCACCGCGGAAGACGTCGTCGACGACGAAGACCCGTCGTCCGACAACCTCGGGCTCTTCCTCACCAGATGAGAGAAAACCGACTTGAAAATCCCGTTCGGGCTCGCCGTCGTCGAGTTCCGGCCGTCCATCGGCACCACCGAGATTCTCTCCCGGCTGCTCGGCCGGCACTTGTTGCACAGCACTCCCCGGCCGTCTTCCCCGTCGCTCTCCGGCCGTTTCTTCTCCGGGCAGCGGTGGAGCGGCGTGGGGCGGTGCTTATACTCGCTCACCGGACTAGCAGTGCA